AAGTCTTCTCTTAACCGGTATAGATGGACAGAAAGCATACATTTAATACATTGCTCAACAAGACACACTCATATACACTTACAAACATATAGGCTAGAACATTCAACCAAGTTATAATTATAAGAAAGAAAAAGAAACATTATTTGATGACATTTGAAAACTTATAAAACACTTTCTTAGCAAATCATATATATGTTTGTACACTCAGACCACAGTCCATAACACACATACACACACACCCTCACATATATATAATATGCATTAAGGAGACTTAATGGAATGCTTGATGTTTGTCATTTTTTGTAAGTTTCGTTGTTTTAAATTAAATAGAAGAGACAAAACTGATTAAATAACATGTAAAAAGAAACTTTGTGTTACTATATATAGATTTTTGCTTGAACTATATATATGCCACGCATATGATACAAAAAGAGCTCGCTGCGCTCGCTATAAAAAGACAAGGTAATGTCCACAATGAACGTTTTAAAAACTACACAATAAAGAAAAAATCGCCCTCGTCTCGTTTTTGCCATGTAAAATGAAAAAAAAAATACTGCCCTGCCGCATCTATTTTGAAAAAAATTGGCCTTAGAACCAAGTAATTAATTTTATTTGGCCTTATAAACCTTGCATCAAATGGAATTTGTTTGATCACATAAAATCACTAAATCACTAAAATAAACTTCAATAACTTTTCCAGGTCATTGTTGAAGTCTGATATCTCACTCCCTCTTGGCTCCGTATCTATTTTGTCCAATGTGACATCATAATATGATCAGAAGTCTGTGACATTATTCTGTTATCATTGTCTGATATCACAACGGGTCATATTACACCAGTCCATACAAAGAATATACCACATGGGTGTATTGACGGAATAAAATGATAATCATTGGGAGAATGACTTGGTATTCAATGTAAACTCTGTTTCTGTACCCTAAACAGGATAATTAATGCTTACATTAAAATAGAAAACACCATGTGACCATTGTCATATCACTGATGATTGTAAGAACAAAAGGGTTACCTCCCTTGTCCATGTCAGATGTGTATAGTAAATATTGATTTGTTGATCGTTCAGACTAAGTTTTAGTATACTGTATGTCTGAAGTAAACTATGAAATGTTGACTATAGGTGATGAAAAGGAACATCGACCGTGTGTCCCAGATAGCCAGCTCTTTTATTGAAGGAGGCAAGTTTATCCAGAGCTGCTTTGACTGGGAGTCGCGAGCACGGAGTATATCTGCCTTTATTGTGAGTAAAAGGACCATCATTTTTGTTGTAACAGAGTATTTATCTGCCTTTAGAATAAGTTACATGACTATTCTATATCGTATTTACTTTGTGAATGCACAAACAACATTGATACATTGACCACTTTAATATATTAGCTACAGAAATTGCAACTTAAAAAGTGAAGAAAATGTACATCTTTGAATTATTTTAATTACTTCGATTAATGATAACAGTAAAAAATAGTTAAATTATGCAGTTATTATTGTGTTTGCTCTTTTTGATAAGATCATGCTTTTACCTTGCCTCTTTCACTCTTGATCAATTAGTGATCTTGACCTTTGACATTGCGGCCCTGCCTTGCGATTAGTTTGTTGCCTTTGACCTTTGGCCTTGCTACCTTTCATGGTGTTTAGTTTATTGGTTGTAACGTTTGACCTTACAAGAGCCTGAAATATTCTAATAGTTTGAGTTTGTTGACCTTGTTGACATTGACTTTCAACATTGAAAAGACTGCCTTTTGATTATTTTGTTGATGTTGACATCGAAAGCCTACGTGTGATTAATTTAAATTGACCTTTGACATTGCAGACTTACTTGGTGATCTATCTTGTGACAAGTGTGTTTACTGTAACCTTTGACATTTGACATTACAGGCCTATATCTTGTGACTTGTTTAGTTTGACCTTTGACATTACAGGCCTATCTTGTGACTACTAGTTTGTTTACTGTAACCTTTGACCTTTGACATTACAGGCCTACCTTGTGACTACTATTTTGTTTGCTGTAACCTTTGACCTTTGACATTACAGGCCTACCTTGTGACTACTAGTTTGTTTACTGTAACCTTTGACCTTTGACATTACAGGCGTACCTTGTGACTAGTTTGTTTACTGTAACCTTTGACCTATGACATTACAGGCCTATCTTGTGACCAGTTTGTTTACTTTGACCTATGACATTACAGGCCTATCGTGTGACCAGTTTGTTTACTTTGACCTTTGACATTACAGGCCTACCTTGTGACTACTAGTTTGTTTACTGTAACCTTTGACCTTTGACATTACAGGCCTACCTTGTGATTGTTTGGTGCTTTGAGCTGTACATGCTTCCCATCACACTGTTGATCATCTTCCTCAAAAACTTCATCATAGTGTCTGTCACAGGAGCCTTTGCCGCCAACGCCAACATCGAGGATGTAAGTATATTGATGAAGGCATACTCAAACCCAGCAACATACATTAGCTTAACTCATTCACCCCTGAAATGTCCTTATGAACTATTCCAACCTTTGAATTGGAAGAGTTCAAATGTCCCCAGGGGTGAAAGTGTTAATCTTCTCAAAGTATTTGCTTATAAGTCTTCAAGGGAGCAGGTGACTAATAATTATGATTTATCTGTCTCCATTGTCACTATCACTGAAGTTTCAAGATGAAATGAATATTTATCTATTAGGCTTTGTACAAGAATTCTACTTTTTCATTAGCCAAGAATGGTGATGCTGAAAGAGACAATAAGTTACAGTTGTATAGAGGCCATTTATGACATCACAATTAAATGGCAAGGACATCAAAATCATCATTGACTTTAAGTTTATTAAAAAGGATGTTTTGATAAGTTTAGTTAATAATCTAGTTATTGTATTGTTCTCCACGCAATAAGTTTTGATTGTGTGTTTTCAGAAACTACATTGTCATAAATATACTGTGCATGGCATATGATAATGCATGGTCGTCATCAATTGGCAAAAACGGATCATTTCTGGAAGTTCGTCCTGTTAGAATGAAATTCAAGAGAATAAATGTACTCACTTGAATTTGTATCACCTGTTTTAAAAGCTTATGACTCTGGCTTACATAGTTAACTAAAGGAAGATACTCTGTTTGGATTGTTATATCAAAACTTATCAACAGAAGTTATATTTAAGTCTAATGCTAACTTTCAGATTGTTCAACGTTCAAAGGTCAGTAAAAATTTCATCAAGAGAAAGTAAAATTGAGGATGTAAATCTAGATGTTTTTAGTCACCCCTGGAGGAACCCCAGTGGGGACTATTAATTTCGGTTTCAGTCCCAGATTTTGACCTCTGTTGTCTTGGGCTGTTAAGTGTCTTGCTTCTGTTGGAATATACCAGGCGCTAATTTCAAGCTCTTGGATAACTCAGATATTGATTTCCTTTTTAAAAAGGAATAGCAAAAATCCTAAAGGTGTTCCAAATTTCCCATTGGAATTTCATATAACCTAAAGATGTTCCGAGTATGAATCAGGCACCTTTGAGGTTCCTGAAGAGGTAAACTGTCGTATTATAAATTGCTATTGACTGATTTAGATATTTTATGTCTGACCAACGACTACCGTTAATATTTGCGTGACTGTCGGCGCACAAATCTCCCCGTATTTGTGGTGTCAGTCAACGCTAACGTTATATTTGCGACATGCTTTCTTATTAATTCCATGTGTTGGCATGGCTACCTGAACAGCATGTATGTATTTACACCTGGTCATTGTTTACCATTTTGATTGACAGGTGGAAATATATCTGTTGTAGCTTGGTCAATGATTTATTGGAAAATGATCATACAGAATGATGGGGTGACTCCATGTCATTCTGACATATTTCTAGTTTTAAATAGTGTTACTAATGATGTTCCCAAATTAAATCAGTCAGAATCCTGTTCTCTGGAGGGTAACATTTCTATGGATGAAGCCTCAAAGACCTTAAAATATATGAAAAATGATAAAAGTCCGGGGTCAGACGGTTTTAATGCAGATTTTTTTAATGTTTTTGGGGAAAGTTAGGTAATTTCATTGTAAGATCAATTAATTTTGGATTTATGAAGGGTGAATTTTCAGTAACTCAAAGACAGGGAATTGTTACATGTTTATCAAAGGGAGATAAACCCCGGGAATTTCTAAGAAACTGGAGACCCATCACTCTACTTAATGTAATATATAAGATAGCTTCAGGGTCAATACAAGTAGATTAAAAAGAGTTTTGGACAAATTAATAAACAGTGATCAGACAGGTTTCATAACGGGGAGATATATCGGGGAAATACAAGGTTAATTTATGATACTGTATCATGCAGTATGCAGAAGAAAATGAAATTCCGGGTATTCTTTTAATAATTGATTTTGCTTTTGACTCTGTTAGTTGGGAATATATTAACAAAGTGTTGACTTTTTTATCCCCCGCTTTCACTGAAACGGTGGGTAAAAATGTCTGTGTCAAAATCACAACATCTACTGGGAAAAAGGAATGGGAAGCAATGTTTGATTTTGATGAAAACAATATTGAGGAAAATATACTTAACACCATTCAAAATTTGTAAAAATACAAAATTACAATGGCTTCAACTTAGAATAAATCAATATATTCTAAGTACAAATTCATATCTTTATAAAATAGGCCTAGTCTATAGTCCATTCTGCAGTCGTTGTTATACTGAGAATGAAACAATAGTTCATGCATTATGGGAATGTGAAAAAGTACAGTTGTTTTTGACAAATTTTAATATTATTCATTCCCTTTACCTTCAACAAAGAGTCTTTTAGGTTTGGTTTTATGAGGGAAAAAACAATCTTGATAACTTAACTATTTTAGTTATGAAGCAATATTTGTATAACACGTACAAGATGCCAGGAAAAGAGCCTGTCTTTATCAGCTTTGAAAAACTGTTTTAAAGAAACATATCACACTCAAAAATACATAGCTACTGGTAAAGGGGAAAATTATCTCACCATCTTAAAGAATGAATGGAAAAAATGGGAAAGATTATTGGTCTCTACATGAAATACAGAAATTCTTAGATGTTTCATTCTCTTTTCAAAATTATATGAGATATGTGATTACCATTTCTGTCCATAGCATATACATGTTTGCCTGGTGATCACTTCTTCTATTGTATACATATCTGATATCTTAACTTGGTAAACTTTATGAATATGATAGGAAGTTGTGTTTTTCTGTAAGAGTTATTGCCCTTTGTTATCGCGTTGCTTCAGTCTTACTTAAGGATCTTGGATCTTCCATTCTCAGTTAATATTGGTTACTGATCTCTTTGAAATTTGGTAGACTGTGTTATGATATGAAGGTTTTTTTTCTTTTTCTTCAGAGTCGAAGAATGTTTTCAATAAACTTTTTAAAGAGATTTTGATCAAACTTCATGTAATTGGTCAATTATGGGAATACCTTGAACGAGTTCATATTCCAGGGTGCTTAAGGACAAGGTCACGATTACTATTTATGTTAGATTTCATCAGCACTCAGTGACTTCATTGTTGAATTATTTGTATCTCTAATGATGCCTTGTGTCTCTAAATTTTAATTGAACGGTTTATAATCTTGGCTAGAGATCTTCTGATTTTGCTCTCAACAAAACTTGGTATGTCCTGCTATTATGACTTGTAATGTCTTAGTAGCATTGTTCCTTATTGAAAATTTGCTCAGGTTATTTTTCTACATTTTACTTTTTATACAAGAATCTATGTCTGGAATGTGATGTACTTTGCCTTAAAAGGTTCAGAATCACATACTATGATTCAGTCTCAAGTTGGGTGAATCTTAATTGGTATGATTTACTATCAATGCCATATTGTTATATCTTCTATAGTGATTGTTATCTATACTCTACAAATGTTTACAAATATGTGTATATGGATATATAGTTGATACAAAAACTGGTCAAAGTCCCTGCCAATATTAATATTAATATAATATTATAATAAAAATAACAATAATGAGAGACTTTACTCATGAATTCAAGTTTAGATTGATTTATTTCTTTTATTAAATACATCAAAGTCCTTTGTCATGTCAGCATGAACCCCTTCTCCCTCTCATAATTCAAGTTCTCTTTCTCTATGTTGATCCTATTCTTCCTTTAATTCTTCTATCTCTCATTCTTTTCTTTCTTAAAAACAGTACATATCACATTTATATGCTGCAGTTACACTTTTAACTACAAAGAACTTTTTTTTTTTCATGTATTTTAATATAGTGTTGAATTTTTGCTAATGACTAGAAATGGAATAAGTGTGTGTATGTGTATGGAAAAATGAATTGTAAATGTATTATGAACTGTTAAAAAATCTTCAAAAAAACCCAAAAAAAACCCAACATAACACAAATTTCATCAAAATGGATTATTTAACAAAGCTGTTTTTCCTATACAGGCGTATGTGGACTCGGAGGATGAAGATGATGACGATGACAAAGATAAGGTGAGAAAATACTATCTCCCAGATAATATCAACCCCAGCTGTATAGTTCATTGTTGTCAATAGTTAGAGCCAATCATAGGCTGTATAATATAGTTGGTGGTTGTTAGTTTTAAGGACCAATCAGGGACTTGTTTACAACTGTCATAGGTTATTGTCAGTATGATTGGTCAGTCTGTGAGTCGATTGAATTAGGCACTAGATGTTGTATCTTTCCATGTCGTTGTTGAAGTGCGATATTCCACCATGTGTAATTGGCTCCATTTCAATTGTCTCCACTGGGACATCATAATATCATTTTCTGATGTCACAACAGGCAATATCATGTGAGTTCATACACAGAATATAGGACATAATAATAATAATTTGATGTTCTTATATACCGCTTTATCACAACCTAATTTGTAGGTCGTCTCAAAGCGGTTCACAAATTATTATCCGTGGTTATAGGGCCTTTGCAACCAGCCAATATCTTTCTCAACTCCCTGGGGAGCATACAGCCGGGGCTGCCATTTTGGCGCTCACAGCTAGCATTCAACAATTCTAGCACTGCCCCAACCACATACTCATTTACAGCTGAGTATAGACATGAGCATATTTATGGAATAACGTTTTAGTTATGGAACAAAACAAATTGGTCATTAGTATTAACCAATCAAGGCTGTTAGTCTTTAGTATTAGCCAATCAGAGAAGTTCTTTGTGATAATGACCAATCAGAGAGGTTGTTTGAGGTGAGAACCAGGGTTTTGATTACAGCTAGGAGATATTTGTACTTTAAGCTGGTTCTGCCACCAGTGTACTTATATCCTTGGGAGGTTGTTACTTACAGGTACTTACCTGATTACTATGGGCCTTCCTAAATAAAATGTGTTGCATCAATATATCTACTTAAAAATGCAAACAGTAGCCAATAAAATTCAAATATTCGGTTTTTGTCAGTGAGTCAGTATCATTTCTATACAGTGTGCATCTGGTCTTCCTGACAGTATTAATTGCTCTTGAGGAATGTTGAACAATGGGTCAACAATATTGTTTAGGAAATATATATTCAGCTTTTACTTATAAACCTATTTGAATGTTTGTTTTGATACATTAGCAACATGCTTCCCAACCTTTCAAATTTTCACATCTATAAATGTCTAAAAGGTACTTACAATGAACCGTATTAGCATGGCACATCAATATAATGATAACAATGGCAGCTCTACCTAGCCTTAACACAGCAATTCTGACTAGGTTATTTTATATCACAAATGTTTTATGACACTGTAAATTCAATCATCATATCTTGCAACTGTTCATGTTCATTTGAAGAAATGCTACACTGCAAGTTCTTGATAATCTAGCAACCTTCATATCCCAGCAATTGAATATTGCTGGATTATATTGTTAGACAGAGGGATTACTTGACAATCAAATCTGTGTAAAACATTAAGATCAATCAATATATATTTGCCAAACACTGGCTGGATATTTGGACAACTGGATCAGGGGTGGCTGGATTAATGAAGCTCAACTTGATATTTGTTATCTATGATTTTGTATATCCTGTCCAGAAATCAAAAACCATTGTGAAAAACGGGAAGATTTTTGCGGCACAGTCATGAAACTTTGACGATTTACAGAACAAAGATTATTAATGGTTAACAGTGCATAGATTATTGTCCCTTTTATTGCAGTTGGAAATATTTTCAACAAGTAAAGTACGCCGTTGGTTTTCTAAGCGACTCAGTAAAGCTGGCAACAAATCAGTAATTACAAGTGAATGGTCTGGTGTGATGCCTAAAAGCCATACCAAGCGTGTGCAAACCATTTTGATTGGTTATTTGCTAAATCTGGTTTACAGTGAAAATTCCACAAATGTTTGGATTTGATTGGATGCTAGTAAAATCAAGCATTTAAAAAGGCCTGATTTCATTGTGTTCGTATTAACAGCCAATCAGACAAGAATCCCTGTTAAGAGTGGTGTTTATATGTCAGCACCGGCCAGCTTAAAACCTTTCCATTTATGTGAAAAGTCTTCAGATACTTTGTTTTAAATGTTTCCAGAGTTTAGTTAGAATGCTCCTATCCAATGCAACCTGTTTATTTAAACCTGCATCTTCTAAGTGTAACTGAAATTTTGTGGAGGCTTAACTCTTTCTTTGGATAGATATATTATCTCATTCACCCCTGAAGACACATTTGAACTGTTCCAATTCAAAGGTTGGAATAGTTCATTATGAAATTTCAGGGGTGAATGAGTCAACTTGGTTTTTCCATTAATTGTTCGTTACAATGTCTACTGTACACGGTATGTACTGGTACATTGCTACGATGGTACCGCTCTGTTGTAAAGATAGCCTCCACAAAATTAATTCCACGAGATTGAATCTCGTTATTTAAGCATGAACAACCCAAAGGAATGACAGAATGCTATATGTACTATTGTTGGTTCGTTGTTATCTCCTCTGACATCGACATTGTTGTATACCTGAATATGTTTTTGTTTTTCATTTTGCACAACAGAAAAAGGTAATGCTTTGTTCCGTAGTTCCCGGACACTCTGGCACTTTTATTGAGTGATTTGCACGTTTTTTAAGCTGTTTTACCTTGCTTGCCTAGACCAGCTAACCCTGCCCTCCTTCCTTCCATGTTTATTTATACATGTTTGTAATCCTTTTGTCTGATACTCATACAGGTTTTTACTTTCTACTTGATCTCATATAGGTGTGTACTCAATACATGTACCTAACATCTACAGGTTTTTATACCATACCTGACACACATACAGGTGTTTATACCATACCTGGCACACATACAGGTGTTTACTCTCTACTGGATATCATATAGGTGTGTACCCAATACATGTACCTAATACATACAGGTGTTTATACCATACCTGGCACACATACATGTGTTTACTCTCAACTGGATCTCATATAGGTGTGTACCCAATACATGTACCTAACATATTCAGGTGTTTATACCATACCTGATACACATACAGATGTTTACTCTCTACTTGATCTCATACAGGTGTGTACCCAATACATGTACCTAACATCTACAGGTGTTTATACCATACCTGGCACACATATAGGCGTTTACTCTCTACTGGATCTCATATAGGTGTGTACCCAATACATGTACCTAACATGGCACACATACAGGTGTTTACTCTCTACTGGATCTCATATAGGTGTGTACTCAATACATGTACATAACATCTACAGGTGTTTACTCTCTACTTGATCTCATATAGGTGTGTGTACTCAATACATGTACATAACATCTACATGTGTTTATACCATACCTGACACACATACAGGTGTTTATATCATACCTCATACATACAGGTGTTTATACAATACCTGACACACATACAGGTGTTTATTACATATACCTGACACACATACAGGTGTTTATACCATACCTCATACATACAGGTGTTTATACCATACCTGACACATTTGAACTGTTCCAATTCAAAGGTGACACACATACATGTATTTATACCATACCTAACACATACAGGTGTTTATAACATACCTGACACACATACAGGTGTGTATTACATACCTGACACACATACAGGTATTTATACCATACCTGACACACATACATGTATTTATACCATACCTAACACATACAGGTGTTTATATCATACCTGACACACATACAGGTGTTTATACCATACCTGACACACAAACAGGTGTGTTTAACATACCTGACACACAAACAGGTGTGTATTACATACCTGATACACATACAGGTGTGTATTACATACTTGACCCTCGCACAAGTGTCTGTTGCATACCCAGAACATACATATGTGTGTATTATATTCCATACCAACCCTCCATGTTTTCTACAGCTGGCACACAAATAGGACCAGGGAACATCCTTTAAAGTATTTTCAATAACTGTACACTTGTGTTTTTACAGTTTAATGTTTGTATTTAATTCTACTGTCATATGTCTATATATTTATGCTTTTCATGTTTTATTTTCTTATTCTAATTTAATTCATCTTTGTTTTTTAACTGAAAACAAAGCCAAATGCTGTTAAATGATGATATCAATTTAACATATTACTGTACAAACCAGTGTATGTGCCAGTCAGTAGTGGGAAAATGGCTTTAAGGTCATTGGAGTGTATTGATAAACGGAAACAGGAAGTACATCCCTAGTTGAAAATCCAATGTAGGGAGACAGTATCCCAATTTCCGCAAATTCTAATGTTTAATATTAAACTGATGAATATTGTATGTTTATTATTGACAGAACAGTGTGTTCTCTCAATATTAAAGTATTTCAAAGCAATCCAGGCATTAATTCAGGTGTTTTTTTTATCAATGAGTCACATGTGTCCATTTTTCTGTACTTCAGGAACCCGGCTACCTATTTCACTACTGTGAAGTTTTTCAAGAACGATAACTCTTACCTGCAATTACTATGTGTATATGGTTTTATTATAAAATGTCAATTTTTATATTTGTATAGAGAATTAATTTTACACAATTTCAACATTTATTAAATTGATATACATTAATGCAATACTAATATATGTCAGTATCATTTTTATTGACATTATTTTTTTTAAATATTGTGTCTTTCATTTTTTTTCAAAATTCACTCCTTTTTACATAAATTTCCATTTAAAATCCTTAAAATTCTGACAACCTATATTTTCTTTGTGGCAGAAAATTTTCTTTACTTTAAAGCAATATAACTACAAAATTTGAAGAAATTCTACTGAGAAATGGTGACACAATCCTATTACCTTAAGGTACTTGTCCCGCTACCAAAATCTGAACCTTTTGAAAATTATTTTTTCCGGCATTATTATAAGTTTAATAAATCATTTCTGAAAAAAAGTATACCTTGTGGGACTTTTATGAAAAAAATAATAGAGATGAATTAAACAAAAAAGATTATCAATAACGGTGTTCAGAGTGTGGAACATGAGCATGACCAGGATTCGAACCAAGGACCTCAAATTGTTATAAAGTCGCTGTATGTGATTAAACATAACCTGGTCAACATTAGTGTTCTGGACCAACTGTGCTACAGTTATATCCAAACTCAATTGAGGGGGAGGTGACTGTAGTGTATTTACGAAAAACCACAGAGCACTAGGACAGAGATCCTTAAAATGGCACACACAAATGTTGCTGAAACAATAGAGGCTAACTAGGAAAGTATCAATATATATCTGTAAGTCAATATACCTGTGGGAAGTCCGGGGCCTAGCCCAGATCCTCCAATACTTTCCTTGTCTCTCTCAGATAATCTTCGACATTAAAATTCATGAATTCCTTAACTGTTACACCTTAAACATGTGTGAATTCATCAATTTCTATTAATAATGACACGTCCCAATGAAGAGCTGTCACCTAAATTGTGTAAACTAAGAGTTTTTCCTAGTCCTGCTATAATTGTAAATGTTTATAATTGTATCAAACATTTTATCAGATATCTTTTCCTCTGTTTTATGAAATCTGTATTGTCTACATGTGTGGAAATGTCACTCCTCACATCCATCATGACTTTAAAAAAAAAAAAATGCATTTTTTTCTGTATATGTACACAGGTGAGGGATCCACTATCACAATTAGTATCTTAATCTCTTTGTGTGTTCCTTAGTTGATTTTATATTTTTATATTCAGAAAAAAAATCATTTGTGTATTTGTTACATACTCTAATTATTTTCTATTTTCATAATTGATAAGTTGACGAAGATATTAAAACAGTTCTAAGTTGGAAGTAAAAATAATACTAAGAAATAAATGGAAATAAAATGTATTGTGTAAAATTGTTTTACATAAGAAACTTAACCTTGATAATTGGCAAAAAGTTACTAGCATTGCTAGTGGTTTATATATGATCTTAAACAACATTTTGTCTGCTCCAGGCCAAAAAGCAGGATAAGGTAAACCTCCACATAATGAAAAATCTACAATAGCATGTTTTATGGGAAAAAAGTATTCATTTTTATATGTATATATATATATACATTTTATATAAAATTATCCATCTGGTATAAGTTTTGTTTCTAATTGTTTAAGTATTTAATGACTTTTTATCTCTCAACAAATTTCTTTTCCTAATGTCAATAAGAGTATATCTATTTGTATTAAGGGAGTATATGGCTGTTTCCTTTTTATCTACAATAACGTAAGGTATTAAAGGTCAAGGAGTTTGAAGGTATAAAGGAGCTGCAGGTTACCGGTACTGGAATTGATCGAGTTCTCTTGCAGATATCTTTTATGACCTTGAATCTCACTTACAGTCAAGGTCAAATACATTCCAGCCCTGCATGATAACTTATTGTATACTTCTATACACATTCATGAAAACTACAAATGGTGTAAAAACGTAATTGGTTGACGGTTGTTTAAAATTAGCTTAGTGTCCTTTATACAGTGTATGGTATTACATGAAGTTCATTTCAGGATTTTTGAAAATGGTCAAACTATATTCATCTAAGTGTCCTTATAAGCATACCCCTTTTCTGTACAAGCATCCCATCCCCTTACCATAAAGGCCATAAGAACCTGGCTTTTGAAGTAAAAAAAACCACCATGGCACAGAAAGGGAGATAATCCTAATGTGTATACACTTCTATACTCTGTACCAGTGTCCAACTTTTCTTCTTGATTCACTTTTTTGCTTTTGACACACAGGAATTAAATATGTTCGAATGCTGAAAATATTGCATGCCCTTTGAAAAGGTTAAAGATAATTTTAGAAAGTTACATTATAGGTTGTTTGAACAAGAATATTTTTTCAGAGAAATTTTCCTTCAGGACAATAAATCTTTTATATTTATACAAACCTACAAAAAATGTTGTTCAAACACATTGGGCTCAGAATTATGATGATATATGTCACTAGGGCTTAGAAAACCTTGTTTTCTCCCACTGATCGCTGATAAGATTTAAAATATTGTATAATCCTCACAAATCTCCCTTTACAGTGTGTTAATATAAGTATTGGTGAACATTGAGTAGTGTATGGTTCTATAGCCAGTCTAGCATACCAAACTAATACTGATCCTTATCCTGATTTGCTCGTGATCTTGTGTCTTTTCGTATTGCAGAGTTATCTTCTCTTGTGAGCAGGTATTGATTGTTACGTCATTGGTTTGTGAGAGTAAGGTCATAAATTTTTGAGAAAATGACGTAATTTTCTCAAACAAACCAATGACGTAACAATCAATACCTGTTCACAAGAGAAGATAACTCTGCAATACGTGAAGACGGAATAAGACACCATCCAAGGCGTTGGGTACAGATACACCAGATATATAGAAAACGTTTTTGTTGATATGACCATTTCCTTTAATATCGGCTTCAGTTGGCCACCAGATCGGGATTGATTGGTAGCTTTAGAACCTTGTGCTTTATCGGTTGGCACAAAAGGTTTAGCTCCTGGTGTTATGGACAATATGTGTAGGATCTGAAAATAATTGTATAGATATTGTTTATTTAACATGGTAAATATATACAAATTGTTTGTTAAAAAAAACCTGCAATATCAGATGAAACCTGAGCAGCGTATCTATGTTTTGATATAGAGTGACATTTCTTAGTGTGTTGATCAACAAAAGTATTATCTATATTGTTTTTGTAACTTGTTTAAGTAACATTTTATGGCTGAGGTAAAGATATAAGTTTTTCATTTTTTTTTTTTTTATATGAATCCAGGTTTAACATGCATAAATTTCCCATTGGCATCAATAGTTAACCTTAGTGGACATCTCCTCATTGTGACATTAACTAAATGTTGATTTTCCTCATAAATAGCTGCGTTATTTCAAAATTTTTATGAAGTAATAAAACATTTGAAATTGGTGATACTTAAGAATTATTGAAATTTTATATACCACATATCATTTTCATTTTTCATTTTCTTTGATTTTTCCGAACAAAATTTCTAGATATTTTTAATATTCTTTCATTCTTATTATACAGATGTTACTTCTTTTTGAGTATAATGTGTAGAATAAGTGCTTGCTCCATTTTACGCTCGCAATAGCAAGACAACAAATAAAACTTCTGAAATAGCATACATTGTGTTTACTGTATCAAGTAATATGAAATTATTTGTTTACGATCTTGTCAATCTGGAAAAAAATCATTTTTTTTCAGTTAAAAGGTGTTTTTTTTATTTGTTGAATATGAAATAAACAAAAAATTAAAATACATTTTACACCAATATGAGCTGTTCTAACCATTACATCCAATATAACAAATGAATGCACTGCATGCTGTTAGTGATATGAACCTATTTTCTTTGTGTTGTACGTGAAAAAATAATATCTCGCTGCCTATTTCCTGTCACTAAATGAAAATGTTATGTTATGTGATATACTTTATTAACATTTCTGGAAGTATTTATCTTTGAAGACATGATTTTGTTTTGGTCTACAATTGTGCTCCTGATGTCCGCGTACCTACTTAGATAATTTACCCAGAGTTCTGTCCCCTTTTGTAGGAGGAGAAGAAGAGTTTTAAGGAGAAGTTACATGCGATACAGGAGGTCTGTCTGCAAGTCCAACAAGGCATGGACATGGCCGCATCCTTAGGAGAACGGGTCAAAAAGTAGGTCATATTACTGTGATATTTGTAGTTTGTTATGCTTTGTATATAGATACAAAAGGCAATCTTTGGAGAGGACTTATATATAGGCTTGTCTGTTGTCCAATCCATTTGTTATCAAAAAAATAAAATTTGTTGAAATGAAAAAAAATCTTTATGCCAAAGGAGCTGAAAGATAATTATTCTGTTCAATCTAAATTTGTGTGATGTATCAAATTTTTACTGTAATGATTCCCCGTGACACTACAGATTTATAATGTCACTTTATGTGTTTCAGTACATTTAACTGGACTGTGCCCTGGCTGTCCATGCTAGCTGTGATAGCTCTGACGATTGGTATAGTAGTGCTGTATTCCATCCCCCTTCGTTTCCTCATACTGGCCTGGGGTAAGTCTGATTGGGCAATGTTCCATCCCCCTTCGTTTCCCCATACTAGCCTGGGGTAAGTCTGATTGGGCAATGTTCCGTCCCCCTTCGTTTCCCCATACTAGCCTGGGGTAAGTCTAATTGGGCTGTATTCCATTCCCTTCGTTTCCTCCTACTGGCCTGGGGTAAATCTGATTGGGCTGTATATTCCATCCCCCATTTCATTTCCTCAGACTGGCCTGGGGTAAGTCTGATTGGGCTGTATTCCATTCCCTTCGTTTCCTCATACTGGCCTGGGGTAAGTCTGATTGGGCTGTATTCCATCCCCCATTTCATTTCCTCAGACTGGCCTGAGGTTAGTTTCAGTTGATAAAACTAAACAGTGTTACATTTGCCACAGTTTGTGCAGTGATACCATGTCATACTTACTACATGTAGAAATCTTGATGAATTTAAAATTAAAGCTGTTAAATATAAACAAATGTTGTACATTACAGGTATCAACAAGTTTACGAAGAAGCTGAGAGCTCCGAATGCTATTCCAAATAATGAACTACTGGACTTCCTGTCGCGAGTACCCTCAGACAGTGAACTGGTGAGTTTAACAAAGTTCATTGTTCTGTCTAGAGTACATTACAATTCCAATCACATCACCAACATGTAATAATGAACTACTGGACTTTCTGTCACGGGTACCCTCAGACAGTGAACTGGTGAGTTTAACAAAGTTCATTGTTGTGTCGCCTGCGAAAAGCTGGTGACACTTGAGTTTCCTTAGGCCGATCAAACTCAAACTTCATGCAGTTCTTCCTTACCAAAAGTGCTTATTTGGGATTGCTTTCCAGGTCCGAAGGTCAAAGGTCAAGGTCACTGTTACTATAAATAGAAAATCTGTTTTCGTGCGATAACTTGAGTTTCCTTGGGGCGATCAAACTCAAACTTCATGCAGTGCTTCCCTTAGTCCTAAGGGCGATCAAACTCAAACTTGATGCAGTGCTTCCCTACCAAAAGTGCCTGCTTCGGATTGCTTTTCAGGTCCGTAGGTCAAAGGTCAAGGTCACTGTTACTATAAATAGATAATCTGTTTTCTTGCGATAACTTGAGTTTCCTTGGGTCGATCAAACTGAAACTTCATGCAGTGCTTATTTACCTAAAGTGCTTGCTTGGGATTGCTTTTCAGGCCCAAAGGTCAAAGGTGAAGGTCACTGTTACTATAAATAGAAAATCTGTTTTCGTGCGATAACTTGAGTTTCCTTTTGCCGTTCAAACTCAAACTTCATGCAGTGCTTCCTTACCTAAAGTGCTTGCTTTGGATTGCTTTTCAGGTCCGAAGGTCAAAGGTTAAGGTCACTGTTACTATAAATAGAAAATCTGTTTTCTTGTGATAACTTTAGCTTCCTTGGGGCGATTAAACTCAAACTTCATGCAGTGCTTCCTTACCAAAAGTGCTTGCTTGGGATTGCTTTTCAGGTCTGAAGGTCAAAGGTCAAGGTCACTGTTACTATAAATAGAAAATCTGTATTCGTGCGATAACTTGAGTTTCCTTGAGCTGATCAAACTCAAACTTCATGCAGTGCTAAGCACAATCTCCCAGCTTCCTGAGCAGGCGACACATCCACTTCCGTGGAATTCTTGTTCTGTCTAGAGTACATAACAATTCCACTTACATCACCAACATGTAATAATGAACTACTGGACTTTCTGTCACGAGTACCCTCAGACAGCAAACTGGTGAGTTTAACAAAGTTCATTGATCTGTCTAGATTACATTACGATTCCACTCACATCACCGAAATGTCCTCCTGGAACAGTTTTCTTTACAAATAGAGAGAGTAATAGATTCTTGTGGTTGAGATACGAAAATTTCAACCTAAGGGGAAGATTCTGAAGTTTTCAAGCACAGCTCTTATGTAAAGGAAACACTGTGTTCATCTATAAACAATGTTTTTATGGTGGACATTTGCACACAACAAAGGTGATAAAAGAGTCAAGATCAGCATAGCCCTTAACTCAAAATATGATAACTAGTAGAACAAAGGTTAATACTATGGGGTTGTACATTTTACAGCATAACCCTTAACAGAAAGATATGATATTTGGAGGTCAAAGGTTAATACTAAAGGTTATAAATATAACAGCATAGGACTTAACTCAAAGATATAATATTGGTTAGGTCAAAGGTTAATACTAGGTATTGTAAATATTACAGCATAGTACTTAACTCAAAGATATAATATTAGGAGGTCAAAGGTTAATACTAGGGGTTGTAAATTGTTTGTTTTTCATTCCAGATACAATACCGGGAACTACGTCCAGACCCCCAGTCGATGTCAAAGAAGTCCAAACAAGCGTAGCAGGACCTGTGTAAGGACACATTGGATGAGATAGTTGACTGTGATATGTGATCTGTGTGGTAACAGGCATAAACTCCGGTGATATTTGTGTCTTTGATGCAGAAACTGGCTCTGGTGATGTGTTTGTCAAAGTGGCCTTGCTGTTCTGGTACCTAACCAGGTGATACACTGCTGATCTAGGATACCTGTATACACAGACAGCAGCAGGCTGAATACAGCTCAGGGTCTGGACATTCAGCCTTGACCTTGATAGGGTCAAGGCCAGTCAGGATACATATTACGGTTGTGCTGAAAGTACAAGCTTTTGTGAAGACAACAGATCTGCTGTTGAAGTTTGGAAGTGTTACAGATCGTGGGATAATATCATTTTGACAGTTTTAAACTGTAACTGATAACTGATGGATTCTTAATGAGTTTCCATGGTGATGGTAGCAAAATCTAAGATGGATACTGGTTACCATGGCAATGGTAGCAACATTTCAAATGGAGGCGGGTTACCATGGTGATAGTGGGGAGACTTTTCTGTGTTGGTGAATATGTTATCACCATTTCTGAGGCAGCTGTATCGTTTAACTTTCACTTTTAGTCCCTCTTCCTACCCACAGGGTGATGCTCATCAACCAGGCGACTGTCAACTCAATACCTGGCAGTTCTCTTTTTGCTTAAATGATTAGCAATACATTTGTAATACTTTTATGTTTTCTTTGGGACCCACTGTAACTGTTCTGGTGGAGAGAGAAAATACTAGACTTTTATGGAAACTGTGATTTTTTTTATGGAAAATGTGAAACTTTCATAACTATACAGAGAAAGGTTATTGTTTGGTCGCGTTTTCACAGGGGCCTCACTCTCTTGTTGAGTAACAGCATATTGACATGTGTTTCAACCAATATGGCTGTCAGAACAACAAACTTAAGACAGTGTAGCCAGGTTCTCTGGAATAAGGTTTTCCAAGTATTCTTGTGTTGAACTGAGTGTGGTGGGTATGACAGTAAGGACATTCACACACCCAGTTAGATATTCACACTTTCGCACTGCTGAATTTTTCGGTGAATACGTTTTGGGATAGGAACACAGGTGACCTAGAAGAGGAGGAATCGAATTAATTCAAGGCGTCGGACATCTTGAGGGGATGCAGGCTTGATATAAACAAGCCACCACTCAATGTTCCAGGTGTCTTGTGTTTTGTGACATTGGAGAAATCATAGATTTACATTCCATATGCAAGAAGGAGTAAAAAATCTCATCGTGTTGTTCATAGACTTCATGTTTTTCTAAACAATCAACATTTGTTTTGATATAATGCTAATTTTTCGTTATTAGCAAACCATGCAAAATTTTGATTCATAGGAAATTTGGTTTGGAGCCTGTATCAATGTTCAGCATGACAGATTACTTCGAATTTTAAAGATTAGTTGATGTAATTGTTTACTATGTAAGAAATCCAGGCCTTATAATTTGTTTACATTATTGTCTCACACACCAGATTCTTATTACCAAGAATTGCTATTTTACGCAATATTTTAAGTTGGGTCGGGTTTGCATCTCTTAGATTGTTAGAATGAATATCAGATTTCGCAATCACCTGTCCTGAAAAATAAACACAAACATTTATGTTCCGGGATAGCTGTAGAACTCCAGCAGAAATGTTGTGTTAACATTGACGGTAGGGTTTACTAATAAATATCAACTGTTACTCTAGATTTCAGTTTTCTGTCTTGGCCCTTCATCATTAGCAGAGCTGACTGTTAACCACTTGGTGCGGTTAATATCAGCTACGTGTCAATCACATCATTTTAACTCAAATTCCACTCTGGACATCATATTTAAAATCATATTTTTCATAAGTTGATAATTTTGAATCTCTTTTTTTGGTTGAGGCTTATCAGATAATTGTGATATTTAGCTACTGTTAGAAGATTTAATTAAGGGGATTGGACCAGTGTATGTGTCAGTGATATAGAAATCTCTGACAAATTCTCTGTTAGCCTCGCTCCGTTTTCAGTCAAAAAGAATGTTTATGTTAATTTTGTCACCTTCAATATGATGTATCACATGAATATGTTATATTTTTTTTATTGATTTGATGTTTGTTTTTAACATATAAAATTTACAATCCTTTATTATTGTCACATGCATTTATAATGATTTGTTCAATTTGCATTTTTTTTCTCAGATACAATACTAATTGTATACTATTCAGCTAATCCAGTAAGTAGATGTGAAAGGAATATTTGCAATTATTTTCTGAAGAAATCTTCGTCTCATAGATGTGTTTCTGCTGATTTTCAGAAATATTTCCTATTTCAAAAAAGACAATTCTGATATTTTTGCAGTATCAATAAGTTATGACTTTCTTTTAATACCACAACGCGGGGGGGGGGGGGGGAATTAACAGAATAATACCTTCCAGAAAAATAAAAAGTAACTTCAGACTTTGTTTGCATACATAATATGTAACAGAATTTTGTTGCACAACTGCTGTCTATCCTTTTATAAATATGGCTTTTTCAGTATCGGATTCCCATACCACCACAAAACCTGTTTCTATGCATCATCTCTCGCCCTGTACCTTTGATCATTTCTAAAAAAAAACACTACTACTTTAGGGGAACTTTAATGTAAAAATATCTGTCAGCGATAAAAAGAAAAAAAATAGTATTCAAACTCTGGACTTCAATTAATATAATGTTGCTCCAACCACCTCAGCTGTCTGGTCAACGGTAGCAGCACCCTAGTTCAGTCGCACTACATGCAGTTACAAGTATATCCAAAATTAAGGGGAGGTTACTGTATGTACTGAAAACAACAATTTCTTTCTAGTGCTCTGCCTGCAGTGGGATGGGAGCAAGTTGGACCCAATTTCATAATCCCTATGGGAGGTTGTATAGTTTGGGTGGATACTTGTCTATCAGCTATTTGGCAAACCACGGAAAACCGTGCTGGTTTATCAGTAGTCACGACCCACATTCCTTCATCGGTATATTGTGCGGAAGGTACTGAAGCAAAAGGCTCTACGATGGTAGCGCAGAATTTTAAAATCTTATTGGCATCTTTAGTTACGAATGAAATTATATACCAGGTGCTAAGATTAGTGGGATAGACTTGGGATAGGTCACATACAAATTAAAAGGTATGGATGTGGATGTGTCATATTTGTATATTACATTTGCACATTAATGCATGCAAAGTAAATGCTGGAAACCCTTGGATTTTAAAGTAGACTCATCCTACACCACACATGTCCCTGGTTATAAGACACTGACCATCAAGATGGGATTTTGAAGCATTGCAATGCCATGATATTTCATCAGATATGTTCCTGTCACTGTATATGTCTGTTTAACTTTTTAATGCATTTATCAGGAAAACTGATAACATACCTATGATGCTTTAGCTTTAAAAAATCTGCAGAAACGCATCATAAGCTTTCTCCCATTCCAATGTTCTCCGTCTTTTATCATATAATCTATAAGCCACTTTTCTTTATAAACAATGTTACGTTTCAGAAAATATATTGCAATTTCAAAGTTGATAAATATAACCATTAATGATCTGTTTTGACTATATAACATTTTTAGTTGTNTCCAAAACTCAGTTAAATGATATACTGAATTGAACTGAGTGCCCCATCACAACTTCATATTTTTATACCAAATTGTTAACACACCTGGATTTTAATGATATTTATTTCCAGGACTAGTAGCATGGCTGAAATTTCTAACTTCAATTTTATTCATAGAGCAATACATGTCCTTTGTTAAAGTTAGGATTCATTTCTTACTTCAACAGACATGTGAAGGCTGAAATGGTCAGTATCTGAATTAGCTCAAAACTATTTTCTCTACTGTTAAAAGCAATCAAAACATCCATCATGTAAGAAACTTGTCTGTGAATCTGAAGTTAGAAGTACACAAAGTCATATGATAATCTTTATATTAACAAACAAGAGTTGAACTTAAGGGAAATGAATAAGGAGGTACTAAGAAGTCATTTAAGTCAACTATAGCACAGGAGCCTGAAGTTCTGTCAAGAATTGATAATAACAGTAATTAAATTTTTTTATCGATGATATGCTTAAAAATTAAATTAAGCATATGAAAGTGGGTTTTTTTTTGTGTATTACTGTTATTATTAATTTTTGACAGAGTCCTGGGACTATAACTACCATAGAATAATTTGTAGTAGATTGTCCACAAAGTAAATTACACAGTCTGAACCAGGCTCTGTTCAATCAAGATTTTTGTCTAAACTGACCAATATCTTGTTATGACAATGTTTTTCAAGTAGAATTTCTTCAATTTGGAACCAACTGTATGCTATTTGAAGGCATCAAGGTACTTATCTCGGATTTGTTATATATTTTAAAGATATTTGTGAGAAATAGCATACCTGTGTTTGCTCAGCTGCTTTTGTTTATGTTTATCTCAAAGATTTGGTTTGTTTGTGTTTTACATCCTATCAACAGCTATTTAAGGACATGCCAGGTTTTGGTGGTGCAGGAAGGCCAGAGTTCCCGGAGAAAAACCACCGACCTACGGCCAGTACCTGGCGACTGCCCCACGTAGGTCTTGAACCCTGTGACTCGGACGTGGAGGGCTAGTGGTGGTAGCAGAATGTCAGACGCCTTAACCACTTGGCCACCGCGGCCCATTATCTAATAGATGTGTTCATCTTAACAATCTCTAAATGTACATCCTAATTTAAACAGTGTGTGAAAATTCAGATGTTTAGATAAACTTGGACACACAAATGCAGATATAGTTGACATTTAATTACTAAACTCTTTTGTAAAGTTTGCGGAGAAAAAAACCCAGTATAGTCCCAAATGAACACTTCATAATCAGCTGTTGACCGCAAAGTGTGTTACCAAAATGTGATAGTGTCAAGTTACGTTACGTAGAAAACTGTCACTTGGCTGAGCTGTATGTGATTCTCGTGTGTATGGGAGTGAGTTAATTGGATTAGCGCTACCCTGTGATATGTCTGTTTTTCCGTCCTGATCCTTATTGTCCGCTAGTCCTAATTATCCTCGGCTCATCATCGGCCACTTATAGCTCTCATTTAAAATTAAGGCACAGATCAGGTTTTGTTTTGAAATGTTAAACATTTAGCATTTATTTTGTTTATCAATACAATGTATCAACATGTATGTATATTGGATTGTAACTGTTTAATTTTAATCAGAACATACATGTATCTGGATTTTGTTTAAATGAGTTGTTCTATTTTTGGTTGCATGCAGAAGGTGTCTGTTGTATTTCATCTGCATTGACTTAAACAGTTACAGATAAAATTTGAATCAGTGATTCCTTTTAAATATTTTTTAAGTTTTAAATTTTAATTCTAAAACAGATCCATACTTTGCGATCTTGGTACGGATATCGTAAATAGAAAAAGTGTCACCAAGATCATATTTAGGATACCAGGCTGTTGACTATTGCATCATAAAATGCTATTTTTTAGGAAATAATAAAAATAAATGAAAATGTGTGATGAAGCTAACAAAGTTGATCAAAGCATGGTTAGCTTTAGGACCAGTTACTTTAATATTTCTTCTTGTATATTTAAAAAATATTAAAAGTCTGAATTATACCCGAATGTAAATAGATTAGGGGTCCAATATCATTATCCCTAGAGAAGAAATACAGAAAAACAACGGTGCATTTTCAGAAATTTCTTCAAAAATAAGATTTCTAAAATGTTGTATTTATAACCAGTTCAACTGATCAGCCTTGGAGTCCAGACATAAGAAAGGGAACCTGTTATCTTTAAATACCTTTATTGTGTACATATATTTGTTAGAATTCTTTTTATATTAGATACTTCACTGTCACTTGCCCAGTAGGCAGTCAATGTATTACGAATTACAATATATAGTCAATTTGAGCTTGATGGAGTTCAAATACCTCATGAGATTTTTTTGTGCAATATATAGAAGAAAACAAGAATTTCATAACAATAAAATACTTAGATACCAGATAACCATTTTAAGCCTTGTTACAAATCACTGTTTGACAAGGTTTCTCATTGCACTGTTATGCTTTGTATGGTATTTTTAAAATATGTTCGACTTGTGTATGTACCCTTGATTTCTTCATACCTTTCATATAAAAATGTGATATATGTCAAGTGTATGGTATCTTCATGCAGAAGACCCTTTCAACCCTATGTAACTTTAGTAGACTCTACCATGCATTGATATGGACGAGTCCATTATGGTCTACAGTGGTGAAACGGTTAAAGCTTAATATGTTTGGAATATAGATACATAGAGTAAAACCTCATTTGTCACCAGAAATTTCGATGTTAAAAAGGGATTTAGAATCTAAGGATATATTGTGAGATATCTGAAATAAGTGGTAAAAGAAAAAATTGAGTGGTATTATATTGAGGCTTTACTCTATATAAAAACATATTTTTCATAAACAAATGATGAATTGAATGTAATAATTTCATTTTCCCATAGAAAAGATTTCAAAACAATACAACTTATAAATGAATGAAAAAAAAAACTATTTTGATTTTGAATTGTGATCAAAGTATGGGTTATTTTGCATTTTTTTTTTAAAGTTGTTAAAAAACAATTGTCATTTGTGCAATGTTTACTTGTGTTCGTATAAGATTTTCAGTTGCAGCAAAAGAGTAATGAAAGTTGTATTATAGTAATATTTTGAAAACTTTATTTGCTTGTTTCTGGTAATGGTATTCTTAAATTTTTATGAACATCCATGTAGGGATTTTTGTGGTGATTTTATTACCTCATTATTTGAAATATCAATTATCATGAAAATATACCAAAAACTATGAGGCATATGAAATGTCAAGATTGATAAACGATGCAAACAAGTATGAGGTTTTCAAGTACGAGTGTCTGCCATTCAAAACCTTCTATATTACATAACTCTCATTCGGATATAAGAATAAAAACCATTTCCTATTACTGGAATATTTGAAAAATATAGTTGCTAACAAAGTGCTGATACAAATGTATTTACAGTAGCTTTATAAAATAAAATAACTTTTTATATATTTGTTCATGTATTATAGCATTCAATTGAACTGACTCGAGTGAAAACATACCATTAGACAACACATGTGTATCCCACAAAGGAAATT